TTTGCTCCCCAATTATATAATCTGGACGTTGCCCGTCCCTAACCTCGTGGAGGCAGGCTGCTACATTTATGTACATTAACTAATAAGTTACTATATTCATATTTATATTTACAATTTAATAAAGTATTTACAGATATATAATATTTACAATTCATAGAAATATTTACACATATATTTACAAATTTGCACATACGAACAATCTTCTTATTTTAAACATCTCAGTGACATATGTACTAAAGCATTTAAAAGTATCCCCGTTTTTCAGGAAACTTTCCGATGTGTCTTGTGACTTGTGATTTTTTTAAGATGCTTTCTCTTCTTATTTCGTTATAGAGTAGGCAACAAAACAACATATGTTTAACGCTTTCGTCTGTCTTTGTGCATTTCGGGCAATTGGGCGATTCGATACAATTTCGCTCATATAACGATTTATTAATAGACCCACAGCCCGTAATTATGTCAACGTATAGTCTACTTGATTTAAACTATTCACAATTTTTATCAAAAAAACTGACATCTTTGATAAATTTATAAGTCATTCTTCCATGCTGTTCTTCATTCCAGTAAGTTTGTCATTTATTATAGAGTGCAATTTTTAATAATTTGTCTTTTTCTTCTTTCAGGTATCCATCTGGCAGGCATTATTAGGATCGAAATAGTAAGTATCCCAATTTTTTTTAATTTCTAATTCTAGTTATTAGTGCTCTTTGAATTATCTCAAGTTTTAGTAACATGCATCCTGAAATAATCTGCATTGCCGCTATAGAAAACGTTCTACACGCCCGAGTCATGGCTACTAATAACTTCCTCTGGATCGAATTTAATGTTCTTTCTACATGATTGGGATGTCCTATCGAACCATATACTTGCGCCATACACAATCATCAGTATATATAGATATCTGTACAGTAAATTATATGCCTTTCTTTTTAATCCCCATTCATCTTGGATTGCTCTTCTTAATATGCTGGACAGCACTAATTTTATTTTTTAGATATTGTACGTGCGGCATAAAGCTTAATCTTTTATCAATGTATATACCGAGATATTTATATTCATTTACAAAATCGATTCTTTTATTTTGCACAAATAGCCTTGACATTCTATCTTCATGAAATTTTCCTTTTACTAGTAACGCTTTTGTTTTATCGATAGCAATTTGTAGCTTGTGTATTACGCACCACTCCTGAATGATGTCTAACACTATAGAGGCTTTCTTCTCTATCTTCAATCTGCTGTTTTCACGAATAATTATTGTCAAATCATCCGCATACGCAGTATGCGCAGTTGCATATATATCGCTCTCCTCTAAGGCCTTCAGTTGAGTTAATAGCTCGTCCATGCACCAGTTTCATGCTGCGGGGCTTATAATAGATCCCTGTGGACATCTCTTTAGTTACGCTATTATATTGCCTTGACGTTAAAATCATCACTCTTTTATTGAAATACTGTTTTAGGATATTAAATATTTGATTTGAGCAGTTTATTTTTATTAATCTCTTCAAAATTGCAGGCCATCAGAGATTATCAAATGCTCTTACGATATAAAAAGAAATAATTACGGCATATTTTTTTTCACTGTTTCTAATTAACGTAACTACTCTATTTAAAGCATCATCACGTCCAGGCCTGAAACCAAATTGCGTTTCCGCACTAAGTCCTTGTTCCTCATATAGATTTTGAATTCTATTAACGATTACTCTTTCGAAGATCTTTCTAATTGCAGTGTTACGTCGTGATGACTACACGATTCTTC